TTCTGTTATTTTAGCTAAGATTAGCTCACTTCCTCTTTTAGCTACAGCCTTATTCGATCTTTCAGCTACTGTTCAGGCTGCTGTTTAGCAGAACGTGTTATTTGACATCATTCATTCGAGCTTATTTGAACCAGGACGCACAATAAACAACGGCTACGTGTTAAAAGCCAAGTAGCCGATGTTTTGAACAAAGGTTTTCTAGCCACAGGCTGATTTGTAAACCCAGTCCTTGTTTGGAGTTGTATGTAAGAACAGCTAAAATAAAAGGGGTCCAGTTTCAGGCAGGGTTCAGCTGGGTCTCTAAAGGAGAAGAGCATGGACCAATCCATGCTTTGTAGTTTGCGTCTACATCGACTGCCCCTCTTGCTGCAACGCCTGACCTTTAAAATCATTCTGCCCACCAGCTCTGGGACCAGTAAAAGTCCATTTTAAACAAGAACATTTTAAATGTCAAAGCTTAAGAAATTATATTTCTCAGTATTTTACTCGCCAGTGGTTTTTGGTCCAAAACTTTCGGCTCTTGTGAAAACATCATCCCCGGGTTTTAAAGCAGATTGGTTGCTGGTGTTTCGTGCAGACAGATCCTTATGTACCGTTCCTTTTTAGGCTTTATATTTTTGATGATGTTGGATGTAACTGGATTCTGAGTGCACACTTTTGTTCCACCTCATGTACGTGTGATGTAAACAACAACAACAGCCTTGAACTTGCTATTTTACTCTTTTAGCTACTGTTTTGCTCTCTTTAGCTTTTAGTTTTGATTCTGCTGTTTTCTTTTAGTAACAGTTTTTCTATGTCTGGCTTTCAGCTACAGCTTTGCGTTTCCGGTTTTAGCTAGTTGAGCTAATTTTAGCTTTTAGCTACTAAGTTAAGAGCTTAAATTAGTAGCTAAAAGCTAAAATTAAATTTAATACTTTAATAATAATTTAAAACATTAAACAGTAGCTCTGCTGTTGAATGAACTGAAGTTTTACCAATCAATCTCCCAGCTACTGTTCTGCTTGTTTGAACCAGTCAGCCAGCCAGCCAGTCATTCAGTCAGTCAGTCAGTCAGTCAGTCAGCCAGCCAGTCATTCAGTCAGCCAGCCAGCCAGCCAGTCAGCCAGCCAGTCATTCAGTCAGCCAGCCAGTCAGTCAGTCAGTCAGCCAGTCAGCCAGCCAGCCATTCAGTCAGTCAGCCAGTCAGTCAGTCAGTCAGCCAGTCAGCCAGCCAGCCAGTTGGCCAGTCAGCCAGCCAGCCAGCCAG